CACGACCGGGACACCATCACAACATGACTGGGACACAATCAAAGCATTATAGGGACACCATCACAACATGACCGCGCCACCATCACATGATCGGGACACCATCAAAACATGACCGGGACACCGTCACAACACGACCGGGACACCATCAAAACATGACCGGGACACCATCACAACATGACCGGGACACCATCAAAACATGACCGGGACACCATCAAAACAGGACCGGGACACCATCACAACATGACCGGGACACCAGCATCACATGACCCGGACGCCATCAAAACATGACCGGGACACCATCTGCCCACCAGCTCTGACGGTGACCCGACGGCGCCCGTCCGCCTATTAGTTTTGCAAGACCCCATAGCATGGCTATTGGGGAAAAATTGTTTTTGTCAGAATCTAGTCAACCACTCACACATGAGAGAGCGCAAATCAAGAAGTGTAGCACGCCTTACTTTTAAGGCTCAAAGCGACAAGGAACTCGCGCTTCACATGGTAGCGGAGCCGCGGCCATGGGGTGCCCGGCTCTCTATCCCACGCCACTTGCACTACGACTCGTCGTTCGGGGCGACCATCCATGAGGACGCAATCTATCTCATTTTGGTTGATCGAGCTGCTTTTGCTGGCAGGTATTGCCGGAGGCGCAGGGGATCCAGCTGTCCGGGAGATTTGCACCTGAACGTGGTGTACCAGAGTCGCGAGTGGAAGGCGCCCTACCTCCATACGATTGTGGTCGAGACCGACGAGCGCGTGGGAAAGTTACGTGGTGTAGGTGGTGAGGGAACTAATTATTTGTGGTCAAAGAGAGGATAAAGAAAGGAAAGAAAAGATCCAACGAGTAGAAACAGGTGGTGGTGATTGTCCCGGCTGGAAGGTCATCGAAAAGGTTGAGAAATTCTCAAATGAGGTTGGTAAGGAGCGCTTGAAACTTGGTGGTTAATTGGGACTTCATATAACTTTTGGCCTACTTTTGAGTTTGAGGCTAAGGACATAAAGAAGGCACTTATCACACACTACTTATTATATATCACTTATCATAGACCACCTACATATACTATTGACCCCACTTATCATATACCACTTATTATATACTATTCATCACACACCACTGATCACACACCATTTATTATACACTACTTATCATATACTACTCATCATATACCACTTATTATATACCAGCTCTGGCTTCAATAGCTTAAACTCCAGGCAATTCTAGCTCTAGGTGTAGATTGCGTGGCAGGTGTAGCACTTTGGGAATCTCTATGTGCAGATTTCGTGGTAGGTGCAGCACTTCATGAACCTTTATGTGCAGATTTCGTGGCAGGTGCAGCACTTTGTGAACCCCCACGTGTAGATTTCGTGGCAGGCACAGCACTTTGTCCACCTCAATGCGCAGACGTCGTGGCAGGCGCAATCCAAAATGCGTTGAGGAGAGATAGCGAACGCTCGAAATGCTGTATTTTTCAATGGAACCGGTGGCTCCGAAGCTGGCAAGTCAAGGTCTCCGAAACGACGGGTGCGAAACGGTCTCGGATCATTCTCGGGCATGGTCGGAATCGTCCGGCCATTGGGATTAGAGGTTTCACTTGTGTCTTGAAGTGCAGATTTCGTGGCAGGCACAGCACTTTTGTGAACCTCCATGTGCAGATTTGTTGGAAGGCGCAGCACTTTGTGAACCTCCACGTGCAGATTTCGTTGCAGCACTTTGTGAATCTCCATGTGCAGATTTCGTGGCAGG